TGGAGCAATACACTTTAGGTTAGTCAATATAAACTTCTAAGACACCTATTTTTCAATGAAAAGAAGCAGTAATAAAAACCTTTATAAATATTACAAGAATACCTCAGAATTGCTCAGGAGCACTCCAGGTTCTATTTTAAGTTTCTGCTACTATGATGGCAGTGCATGTCAATTATTTGTGACATATGGCTCAGCCTTAGCTGAAGATTTGCAGAGAATTTCTTTGTTACTACCTCCACAACATTGCATCACCTTCTGAAAAGTGATCAAGTTAAAATATGATGTAGGCTTCTTGAGATACCAGGACATGTTGTTGGAAGACTTTAACCCAGAGACTTTCCAGGTATCTTGTAGGCCAACTGTGTCACCAACTGTAGAATTTAGAACCCACAAATTATCTTGCTCATCTTCAACTGGACTTGAATGAGGGGTCTCAAGGCAAACTAAAAATATGATCTTTGTGTTGCTCAGGTTGTATGTGATAACCCATCTAAATCCAAGAGATAATCTTTGCCAAGAATAAGACTGAACCAAGGAAAGTCAATGCTGTTGAGGAAGGTCATGAGCATTCTTTATAAAAGCTCCAGAGAGCACATGGGCTGAGTTGGGGCCATCATTATTAATGAGCAATAACTATTTTTCAAGGTATAATGATAACAGTGGGACCATCAGAACTGTCCTTTTGAGAATCAACTGTCCATGAGTTTAATTCTACCTTCTGATGATTCATTTTAACTACAAAAGGAAGAAATTTGTAATTATTTTCAAGTCACTGAAACAACAGAATAGTCATGTGGCACTTCCATCATAGTATAATCCAGAGAAACCCTTCAAATAGGTATCAACCACCCTTCCTCTTGCTGGTTTAGGGTTGTGTTTTCTAGATTGCATAGAATATCATATGCAAAGTATCAAGACTTTGAGTTTTTTAGTACTGTTCTCTGTGTTAGGGTTCTCCAGAGAAACAGAACCAATAGGAGATAGATGTGAAAAGATATAATATGAGGAATTTGTTCACATGACTATAGACACTGAGAAGGCTCACAATCTGCCCTCCAAAAACTGGAGACTCAGGAAAGTGTGGTATAATTCCTATTTAAGTCTGGAGACCTGCAAACCAGAAGAGCCAGTGGTGAAAATCTTAGTCCAAGGGCAGGGGAAAAGCAAAGTTCTAGCTCAGGCAGTCAGGCAGGAAGAAAAAGGATGCGTTACTCCTTCCTCTGCCTTTCTGCTTCATTTGGGGTCTGAGTGGATTGGATGGTGTCACCACACTGAGAGGGTCATTTGCTTTGCTGGGTCTGAGTCACCAACTCAAAAGTTTCTCTGATCTGGAAACACCCTCACAGACACACCCAGAAAAAAATGTTTAATCTGGGCACGCATTGGCCTGGCCAAGTTGACACAAAAAAATTAACCATCACAGTCTTTTTTGAGTTCTTATAATTGATTCTTCAGGGACATAGAGTATGATTAACTATGAATAATATTTTGTTGAGGGCCTTTTTTTGTCACTCTAACCCAAACCATCTGCATCAGATCTGAATAGTTCATTCCTCTTTATGAGAAAAAAAAATCTTTCAGCTTGTCCCAACCATGATTACTTATTATGTGCTATATATTTATTACATAAGAAGTTAAATCAGCCTAGAAAATACATTTGAAACAAAGTGATATATACTTTGCTTTTAAATGGAGAGGAGTTGGAATGAAGGGGGAAATTAGATAAGGAAAACAAAGATGAATGGCATTGGCACACAGAATATACACCTTGTGTTCCTATCTACTGCTAAAGAAGAACTCACAATTTTCACCCTAAACTCGCTAGCACTCAAAACATAGTCACAAAAAAGAGCACTTGCATGCCTTACAGTACTCACGAAACAGAAAATTGCATTTATTCAGAAGGAAAACAGCTTGCTATGGCCCTCATAACCATGTTAGGCACCTATCAGGGTGAAATCTCTGGAGGGTGACCCATGTCAGGGTGACCAAAACCAGCACACGGCCCCACCCAATCACAAGAGGGCAAGAAATGCAGTCCTGCAATTTGCCCTTCCAGATGGAAAATTGGCAATGGCACCCATGATGTCTAAACTATCGGCCTTCTAACAACAAGACAAGTAGTAGATACTCAGTATTATCCCTTCCACAGATATATAATGTTATTGAAAGGGCTGGATATTTTACCATCAGTCTAAGTCAATGATGTGATGTCAAGGTTATTTAATAAGAATAATTCTGTTAGGAAACAACCACTATTAAAAGAACGTATTAGTGGAAGCAATGAAAGAGAATATGCCATCAATATGAATAGTATAGACAGCCACATTTATTACACATTAGCGTTTGTGATGTGGTGTGTTCTGTGCTGTTAGAAATGATTTAAAGATAGGCAGAACTAGTTTCTAGCAATACTGCCTTGGTAGAGTATACACAGCCTAGGTCAGCACCACTCGGCTAGTCTAGCAGACAAGTACACTATCAAAATTCAAAGAAGGTAGCGTTTCCAAGGAAAAAGTCAGTTTTGCAAAGATTAGAAAACTCCCCATATCATGATTATACTTTTTTATTTGAAAAACTGACATTTATCTTGATGTGACATTTTCCTAATCCCTTAATGACTTTTAGTTGAAATACCAACGTGCAGAGAGAAAATCGTCATGTGAATACAATACTTTTATTTATGAAATATACTACTATTAGACGACAGAGCTGCTGGTCCCGACCAGTCCCACAGATTCTCACACGGACAATCGTTTAAAAAGCACCATCTTCGGTGCTACTGGCCTTCTTCTTTCCCAGAAGCTTCTCATTCACCTGTGTCCTAGAGAGTCCGCAAAGGCGGAAGCAGAGCCTTCACTCATGACTATACTTATTTCTTAATTCCCATTTCTAAGATGTTCAAGGGAAGAAACCAGGAGGCACTAACCCAGGCACTAGGTAGGAAAGTCAAAAATGGAGATTTTTCCAGTGTGCCAAGTAAAAGGCATCCCGGAAGGGAGGACCCAAGGGTTCTTTCTGCAATAAAAGTAGACCTGTTGACTGAATATTAACTGCATCTTCATAACTTTTTTCTAACATTAAATAAGAGGTATATCAAATGAATATTTGCCTCCAAGAATTAAAAAAATAATAAAAAGGATTAGTTGAATGAGTGCTTAAAATGTCTTAAATGTCTCCATAATACAATTTTAAAAGGAAAGTCAACCCAAGTGAAAAGCTAAAAACCTCGGGTGCCTTTTTGTTTATTTTTCAGTTTCAGAAATGATATTTTAAATCTCAGTGTCCAGCTCCATATCTTTACATAAAACTTGCCCAGGCCTCCTTGAAGAGGTAGTCTTGGCTGCAATTATGCTATCTAACGACGAAAGTGAAAAATTGGATTCCTGACTGACCCCGGCAGGTTAGCTCTTTATGCTCCAATGATATAAGAGACCAGCTAATAAGACCTCACCATGCATGGCTTTAAATGTTATTGATGGCCTTAAAGCAATTCTACCCTTTTTAAAATTCTTTTGTGCATCTGGTCTTGTTATCACCCCGGGAGTGACTTACACACAGTGGGCTCATGATTCAGAGAGCGAGTTTCCTGTCATTTGTCTTACCTTCATGGCATTACGATTTCACTAAATTTTCCTCTGGGAAAATTAACAGAGAGGGCAAAAGAAGCATCAATTGGTGTGTTTTGTGCTGTCAGTGAATGCCCTCTTCATTCTTTATCCCTTCTCATGTAAAATCATTTGAGTTTACGTATTTTAGGCACTTTCTGACCTCTGATAACACACATTGCCTTCCCTAAGATCGTGTCAATCCATCTCTTCAGTTGAAGTTATGAAAGCCTGTTCTCTGGTGTGAATGGACATGTTTTCCACAGAGCTGTGCTTCTCAACCACTGCTGTGAAATACAGAAACCAAGGCTCTGCTCTGGGGAATTCCAGCTTGGGATGTCTCTGTGATGGAGTCTAAGAATATCTGATTCTAAAACTTTCAGAGGGGATTCTCATTTGCATTCAGAATTTATCAGAGCTGTGGGAAAAAAATTGCCTTGGAAATTTGAGTTCTGAGTCTTCTCCATTCATTTCTATACAAAGGCCAAAAAATGGCACCCAATGGTCCTTTGCTGACCTCCCCCCACCCAAGGAAGGTGATACCCTTGATTTAGAAGGGTATCCAAATAATTTGCACTGGTTTCTTCTCAATGAACACCATTTCCAGGAATCTAAAAGTAAGATCACATTTTAATCAACTGCCTTTACCTAGAACCCTTGCCTTTTCTGTTCACCTCTTTTCCCCCTTCCCTACCTGGTAAAAACAATGTACACAGGATGTCTGGAACTGTCAAGATCCCATGTAGGTAACAGGATCAGAATTAAGAGACAGTGAGACATTTGTACAAGAACAGTCCCCATCCTTCAATCTATAAACAAATCCTCTTTTCCCCTATTCATACATACTGTGGGATAAGATAGGAAAGCAGCAGAGAGAAAGGCTTCAGAGATATGCATATGTATAAACCCTCATTTAAATATATCTACATACCAGTATTGCAATTCAACATTTAATGAGTTCTACTCTGAGGCAGTACGGTAAGTATTAAAGCAAAGGAGATCAATAAAATATCTTTCTAAGCATGGGGTTACTCGGACACCTAGGCAATGAGAGCAAAACACTGTTATTAAGAACAGTTCCAAATACTAAATTTGTTGTGCATACACCACCTTTAAATTTTTTTAATTTAAATTATACCTACCATTTCAATGAAGATTGAACATGGTCTGATGAGAAAACATTGGATGGAGGTTAATGGCCTGGGTCCTCAGCTGGCCACATCAGCTCCCTATCAGCCACTGATCTGTCTGAGGTCTCTGATCTGCTGAATATGTAGATTTCCAAAGCCCCTTCCTGCTCTATATCCTCAAACTATTGCAATTGCCCTGCTAATGATCTATTTCTTATTATAATTCTGTTTCTGATTCTTTCCCCTTATTTCTCTTTTGCAGATTCTTTTCATGGGCATGATGACTGAGTACTATCACTATTTTTTCACAACCCTGGTAAGCACTTCCAGTGGAAATGTATTCCATGCTGTAGGAAAACATCTCCAGTTATTTCAAAAGTCAGCCCCACCAGTGTCAGAAGCAGGGTATTGTCATGGAGATTTGTCTTACTTTCCTAAGAATCCTTTAAATCCAGAAATGCTGAACAGCAGGTTCTTTCTTTTTTTTTTTTTTTTAAATTAGCATCAATGCCTGTGCATCTGGAAAGGGATTAAAATGATAGTTCCATTAAATAGAAACTGTCAAAGAGCAAACTAGTCATAAAGAATCATCTACATTTTCTAAATACATTAGAAGGCACACTAAAATGTCTCTTAGCTTTTTTGATCCTATGGGATTTACGGAGACCCTTCAGGAACCAATTTGCCCTCATGGTCTTGCTTTTTTCATCCTTTGCTCACAAGCAGATATTACAAATCAGACCCTGGACTTTCCATATTGCACAGGATCCTCAATTTATAGGCCAACCTAACTTTGTGTAATGTATTCATTTTAGCACATCACGTTGCTTACTGTGGAGTTTGTGAGGGATTCCGTATGCATTCTAGAATTTTCTGTCTGATGTCTTGTAGTTTGAGTAACTTTCCTTCCATTCATTGAGCGCGCTAAAGGAAATCTTTCTTTCTAGGGTCTTATTCTTTAAATTTGCTTCCTTAAGCATTTTCCTTTTGTTTTATCTGCATTTGCCATGCTTTGCTTTTTATATTCTTAACCATTCTTGCCCATGAGTATTGGTAAAACTTACAGAAGAAAGTTATGTAGAACAAGGCGGGGGAAATATAACCCTTTAGAAGGTACTACTCTTTCTGATACTGAGCCAGGAGGACAGAACTGCCCTCTTAAAACTCTACGGTCTAATTCAACATTATCTTGGGAAAGGGTAGCTGCATAAAGAAGAATTATTCAGAAGAACAAATCCGTGTGCCTCTTCTGCAAATACAGATCATGAGGTGTTTCTGAAGCTGCCTCTCCTTAGGAACCACGGTCATCACTGATCATCTTGCATTGCACTTCCATAAAGCAGTTACACTGTTAGGAAATTTTTATGCAAATTTTTTCTCTTTTCTTTTCTTGTTAAGTGTTATTTTGAAAGTTTGGTTTATTCCAAATGCAAGATATCTTTAATGACATATGATAGAGTTAAACCTTTCTTCACAAGAAGCAAGCTGAAATTTTTGTATTGTTTTAAATATGAATCAACAGGGGCACCTGCATGGCTCAGACGGTTAAGCATCTGCCTTGGGCTCCGTTTGTCTTCAGCTCAGGTCATGATCTCAGGGTCCTGGGATCAAGCCCCATGTCAGGCTCCCTACTCAGTGGGGAGTCTGCTTCTCCCTTTGCTCCTCCGTATTGCTTGTGCTCTCTCTTTCATAAATAAATAAATAGATAAATAAATAAATGAATGGATAAATAAATAAATAAAATCTTAAAAAATAAATATGAATCAACATAAACATCTGGTTTATACTCAGCCTCATCTGTAAGAGAAAACTTAAGTGGGTTAAACTTTTCTTCCTGAAACATTGTCTGAAAGGGAATTAGTTCCAGTGCTATGATACCCATGTTCACACAACCCTATGCTTTGGTTCATTCTCCAAGGAGAACACTCAGAGCTTGCATCCAGTGAGCATTCTTCATGCCCTCATTATATGGGGCATGGATCAATGAACCAGAGAAAGGTATTTTTTCCTGCTGGAAGTGATCTTCCTATCAAATGCATAAGAAAATTCCAAATTTCATCTCCTTTACCAGATCTAAGGCAGCAGGAAGTGATGGGTCATCCTTGGACTAGTCACATCACCACTCAAGTGGCTTCAGTGTCCTCATCTGTAAAATAAAAGCATTGAACCAAATGGACACAAAGATCCCTTCCAACTCCCCAAACCCTATGTTCTAGAAACAGAACTTTAACTTCTCAGAATATTGTACCCTGTGCCCAAGGGCATACTAATTCCTCTTCTTGGTTTATCCAAATTCTAATAGCATTGCAAAAAACAGCGGAAAATGAAAACTGCTCACTGCCTAGAGTTTCTCAGGCAGCGTGCAAGCGAAGAACAATGGGAAACATTCTTTGATGAAGCAGTGAGGATGGCAGCTATTTTAATTTTAATCTACCTGTTGCTTTAGCAGTCATTATTCTGTTTTGCATAAAGGACATTGAAAATGTTAACTCTTTCTACTTTTATCATTTTTAATACTGCGCAGGACTTATTTGCTTTAGATCTGGAACTCTATAGGTACAGTGGGGTAAACATGACTGGATTTCGGCTGCTTAATATTGACAACCCTCATGTGTCCTCCATCATTGAGAAGTGGTCCATGGAGAGATTGCAGGCACCCCCCAGGCCGGAGACTGGCCTCTTGGATGGCATGATGACGGTAAGTAGTCTTAAAATAAAAATCATTTGAGATGATGTTTGCTTCCTTAGGGGTTAGTAAAGAATCACCTATGCCTCCTCTAGTGGAAGTAAAAGTATTATAACTTGTGCCTTGACTTGAATGAGAGAAGGAGTAAAATTTTTAGGTATTTAGAAAGTCTATGCACGGCTACTATCGAAAATTGCTATTTTCAGCTTTCTGGACTGTACGTCCCTCTGATTTAAAAAAAAAAAGAGTTAAATGAGTAGCCACCATTGCCAGCCAAATGGAGACAAAGCAGAAGCCAAAGTGAGGGTGACTAAAGTGAGTTTTACCCTTGGAAATGTGGCCTTGGGAAGGGGGGAGGGAAGGAAGAGCAAGCTGCCTACAAAAGTGACGCAGAACAAGTTTGCGGCCCTCCTTTCTTTTTTTTTTATTAATAAATTTATTTTTTATTGGTGTTCAATTTGCCAACATATAGAATAACACCCGGTGCTCATGCCATGCGGCCCTCCTTTCTTGCCACATCTCAGCAAACGGTGGCACACGTGGAAAGACACCAGATTTGCATGCAGTTGGTGTGTTCACATTCTTCCTGCCTGGATGTGTACAGGAACACCTCTGCAGACACTGACAGTGATTCACACCAGCCATATGTTGCTCTCGAAGCAGATGCCAGGCCCCCCTCCTGACAAGGAGAGGTACTCTGCTGAACAGATAAATTGCAAACTGCCTCATCAGAGCGCTTCTCGCTAACATCATTTGTCTTTCGTTGTCAAATGCACCTACCTTAGCTTTATTTCTCTAATGAAGCTCCCTACGTGATGAAGAAAATAGCAGGACATTTTTTAAAAAGCTTTCTATGTAGGAATCATGTCATCTAAAGGGAAAGATACTAGGAATGCGGGCAGGTAATAGCATTTGAAATTGGCATAGTATTTCATTCTCTGTTCCCATCATCGGGAGAAGCACTCTTGCTTTTAAGATGCAATTTACCGATAACCGAAAGGTATCATCTTGCAGAGAAATGAACTTGGGATTTCTTTTCCTTTTCTACCATTTTTTTTTCATGAGAAACAAATGAATACCAAGGAAAATGAATTAATAAATGAAGTGGTTCTGGATGATTCCTTGTTCAAGCCCCCTGATTGTTTTTCAAACCTGAAATAACTCTTAAAATATACAAAGTGATCGGAGAGATAATGATAGAAAGCATTTTAATACAAATGAGCCTTTGAATAGGAACAAGTAGAGACTATCCAGGGAAGTACTAGACCTTCTGAGAGAGAAGAGGGCAAGCTAGAGAGAAAAAGAGTTAGAGACAGACAGAGACAGAGAGGTATGCTAATACAACAGCTTTTCTCTTCTTCCTCTTGGATTTATAATCCCAGTGAGTTCAAATGTCTCAAATCCCCTGCCCTCGCGCCTTGCCTCCCAATGAGATTTCTATCCACAGGCTGAGATCCCCAATAATTGTTACCTACACTCAGTGTATTCCACTAAAAAAGTTACAGTTTGGAGCTATGTTATCACAGCTTGTGGATTCAGGCCAAACATTAAATATTCATCACAAGTATGGTTTAATTTACCAAAAAAAAAAAAGGCATCTGTTGCATTCAATTATACAGGACAGTTTGTACATATTGACTGAGATAAGGAAAATCATTGAACAAGGAGGATAGAACCATGCAAGTCACACCAACTCAGGCCAGACAGGGGATGCATCTACTCCGGTAGGACTGCTGCCGGTGGCCTAGGCAAATGGCAGTTCCATGGGCAGGAAGCATGGTGGAGCCAAGTCCTAGTGGATGGAAGAGGTCCTGCTTTGCCTAAAGTTTACTACTGTCATCTCACTTAAGAAAGGGATTTCTAGGCTCTGTTATTGCTCCTGTTATTATTAGAAACTATAAAAAAAGAGAAAGGGGATTTATCAGAAAGGAAGAGAAGGGTTCCCCGGGCACCAAAAGTGGGGAAAGTAGATATATCAGTCATGTCTATACTAGTCTAAAAAAGTAGTAGAACACAGCACCCACTAGAAGTTGGATCCCATAGTCATACAGATCGGTTTTCCCCTAGTTTCACTGAAATAGAAGTGATATACTTCATCGTATAAGTGTAAGGTATACAGCATAACAGATTGACTTACATATATTGTGAAATGATTATTGCAATAAGTTTAATTAGCATGCATCATCTCATATAGCTACAATAAAAAGAAAAAGAATATTTAGATATAGTTTTGAAATTAATCCCAAGAAGTATAATAGTGATTTTTATTCACCTGAAGACTCCATTTTGGCTTCTAGTAATGGAGGCCAATTTGGGGATGTGGAAACTGAGTCACAGTGAGTTTAAAGAGTAGATTTACAGGTTTGAAGCCCAATGGACTGATCTCTGAGTTGAGAGAGCAGAAACTCATGTCCCCAAGCCAGGGCCCAGATCTAACAAATCTTTGTTCTCATGCTGCCTCTGTACTCAAACCATTTTCTTCCCCACCTTCCTGATAAAAAAAGCCCTATGGTTTCAGTTCCACTGGGTCTGTATTCCTCAGATCTCATGGTTCATTCTTTCTTGCATCTGTAGCATTTGTGACTCTCACTACCTAAAACCTTCTTCCCCTGTCAAATCCACTTCACCAGAGAGGCCTGTTATTCTTTCTCCCATGGCCTGTTTTCTTTCGCTATGTAGCCGTACAGCTTCACACACTATATTTCGATTCGTTTGTTCAGTGCCTTCCTCTACAAGAATACAAACTCCATGAGGACAGAGAGGCTTTGTCTTTTTGTGATCTCCTTTATGCCCAGAAATAGAAAAGGTCTGGCACAAAGCAGGCCTTCAATAAATATGTATTTAATAAGGGAGCTAATGCTAAATAAATAAAAATTGGGCTTCTGCTAAGACCAACATGTTAAATGAAAAATGCTCATATACGCCTTAAATAAGTCTGTAAAAGCCCAAAGAGAGTTCCTACAAGTAAGAACTAGGCATGTGTAGTGAAGATAGTGATTATTCTAAAGTAATAATAATATTTTAAAAATTAGCCTAGACTAACCACTATCTATATTTAAGTAATGCCATTACTAGAAGAAAGTTGCATTCGCTGAAATCATATGCATTATACCACTACTCTCCAAGGCAAATTTCCCTATTGCCTTTATAGTTTTATTTTTGTGTGTGCTGCATTCATATACAGATGCCTGTAGGAATATATAATATAGAAATTTTTAAAATATGTTTTAAAATATCCATGTGTTTTTACTTCCCACCTACTTGTCTGATTTTCTCTTTAATATTTTTAAACTGAAAATTTTTTTAGAATATCATACACCAAAAATATCTTCAAAGAATATTATTATATATGACAAAACACATCCAAATCTGAAAATCATGTCCAATGAAAAATTTTGACTCCAGACTTAACAGCCATAGATGTAATTAAAGAAAAAAAAATATTGACTTTGAAAATAAGGTTAAAATTGTGTTAATTAAGAAACCTGTTACTGAGTCAATAGAGTTCAAAAATAGTGAAACTCGTTATTTAAAACATCTTGAGATTAAAAAAAGAAAGTGTTTTCTCAACTGAAGTGTTGATTAACTCAATAGAAGTTTGGAGTAATTTTACAAAATCTACTTCATTCCTTTTTATGGCGCTTAAATTTTTCTTAGCACTTGGGCTGATTCAGTCTATTGGCTTATGAATAGACTGAGATAATGGAGTGGCCCATTTTCAGGTAGAGTCCTCTCTGATTGTGAACCAAAACTGTGCATGATTCGATAGTGCAAAATAATCATAGAAACAAGAACGCTGGTCTGTCATTGGCCTTCCCAGTTCTTCAAAAGCATTCATAATATAAAGTTATGTCAGTAGCCTTATGTTACATGTGAGCATTTCCTGTAATCATGATCCAGGAGGGAGGTACCTTTGAGTGTCACCTAAGTGTCTGCTGCTGCTCCAGCGACAAAAGACAATGGGCTATGAAATTCAATGGAAAAACCAAGATCTTTCCAGATGAGGAAAGCCTAGATTAAGTACTGGCTATGTCCCCTGAATAACTAAATGACCTGACTAGGTTATGTAGCATCTCTGAGGCTGCTTGCTTACCTGTCAATCTGTGTAATAATATTTTACAGTATTACTCTATAGATTAAATTAGATAATATATATAAAACCTCCAGGACATAGAATTGGATTTACTTGATGGCACTTGCTATTATGCCAGTTTGTAGTTAATATAGTAACAAAAGACATTCTGAAATGCAGAGACCGAATCCTTACTTGTTTACAGGAGATGTGTTTCTTGACCTGCACAGGTAGCCCAAGATAGCCCCTTACCTGGGACCTGTGTGACCTTGTGTGACCGACCATAGGAATCACCCAGGTGTGTTTTCCAAAGTCCACATATGGTCCTCTTTTCCCAATTTCTCATGTCTCTCCCAAAAGCTGGAAAATGTTTATTGAAATTAGAATATGCCAACCTCTGCACCAGGTCTCACTGGATCTGCTGGACTTCTGCCCTAATTACTGAATTTCTAGATTGTGAGTATATGATTATATCTTTGCTACCTTCCCCAGGCCATTTCCAAACCCCAGTTCACTTGCGGGTCACTCTTCTCAGCATCCTGAACATTCAGGATGTGCACTGCCTCTCCCACCACTTTGGCTGTTCAGTAGCCTCCGCCCCCGCAAGGGAAACTAGCTCATTCATACTAAGAGACAAATTCCTGCTAGCTCTATGCTGTGGGTGAGATATTTGGATTTTAATAGAGGAATCAGTGATAGAATAAAATTAGGAAATGAGGGAGAAGGGTGTCATTTGGGAGAACTTCTCTTACAGAAAACTGCCTTGTCCATCCATGTCAGGCCAGTGAATATTTCTGAATTTGCAGAGAAGATGGGAAATCTATACTTTCAAGGTTTTTTTTTAATTTTTTTTTTATTTATTTATGACAGTCACAGAGAGAGAGAGAGAGAGAGAGGCAGAGACACAGGCAGAGGGAGAAGCAGGCTCCATGCACCGGGAGCCCGACGTGGGATTCGATCCCGGGTCTCCAGGATCGTGCCCTGGGCCAAAGGCAGGCGCCAAACCGCTGTGCCACCCAGGGATTCCCAAAATCTATACTTTTTGCCCATTTGTTTCACAAAGACTAAGTCTTCCTTCAGCACTCCCATCTCCTGCAGTTTTCTTTTTCCAGTAATGCCATGCAAGGAATATATAAAGCCATATCCTGTTGTTACTCCTCATTTCCAAAGAGTAGCATCTCCCTGGATTTTGTTGGGATCCCCAAGACCACATTCAGGTTTCATTTGGCAGAAGAACTCACAGAAATCGGAAGGGCTGTTAAACTCAGAGATAACAGTTTATTACAGCAAAGGGATACAGATTAAAATCAGCAAAGGAAAAGTTGCAAAGGGCAAAGTCCAGGAGAAACTATATGGGGACTACTAGTGGTCCTCTCCCAGGAAAGTTGCTTTGACAAGTGCTTCATTCTCTACAATAACATAAGGCAACATGTACAGAGTGTTGCCAACCAGGGAAGCTCCTCCAGGCCTTGATGTGCAGGGTTTTTACTGGGAGTCAGTCACATAGGCATCGAGCATCCTCATAGCTGATCCTACTTGCTCAGTCTCCAGCCATTCCGGAGGACAAACTGATAGATACAGCATGGCCCAGGGCTCCAGATGAACAAAAATAGGCATTCACCATAAATCACACTGCTAAACTGCCTAAAACTGCCCAAGACCCCAAATATACAAAAACACAATGGTCAGGCAGGATATTCCCAGGTTTCGGACATTATCTCCCAGAACCCAGTCAAAAGCCAGTCTTTTCTTGGAAATATGTGTAGAGCGTGGGCACCTCGGTCCTGCTGAGTTGAATCTTTATTGCACACTGTTGTGATAACCAAAACACAGTGTGAGACTGCTTTTTGTATGCTTGTTTCATGATCCATGTTGGGGTAAAGAGATTTTCTTAGGGGCACTGAGTAATGTGGTCTCATTCAGGCTTTCGATATAAATAAAATGTGAAAATAAACACATTCGGAAAAATAAAATCTGAAACACAGGCCAATTTCTTTTACATTTATCTAAAATAAATCGAGAGTTGCTACTCGGTAAGCTGGCCTCCAGCACAGAACTGAAAAGGGAAGAAAATTCAGGGGTGGTTTATTAGCGTTATAAAATAGGTAGACACATGTCTCCTCCATCTAAGAAAGCGTTGCACATCAAAGGGAAGTGTGGTTTTAGAATAAATGGTTTTCTTCTTTGAATTTGAAAAGCACTGATCAGGCCCATGGTTTTGAGCTGTGTTATTACCCAACCCAGTGTGGAGGCAGCCTTGACAAAGAAAATCAAAATCCTTCCTTAGCCCAGCTTATGGAAGAGTTAGATCAAAACTTCACTCCTCACACTTCTCTACCAACTCTTTCAATTAGTCAATTAGTGAATACGCATACAAATTTGCAAAAAAAAAATATACTCTACTGCTAAAATGGTCCAGGTCCCAAGAGCATAGTGGTTAAGGGTGTGAGTTCCAAAATCTAAGTTTACATCCTAAGTTGAAATTCTCACTTGCCTAGTAAGTTAGGCAAGTTATCAAAGTTACTTCCTGAAGTTACTTCTCTAAGTCTCCATTTCCCTGTTGGTAAAATGGTGACAATACCTATTTCAAAGGCATCGTTTCAATAATTTAAGGTGACAGCATGTGTAGGATGCTTACAGTGCCTTGTGTGTAGTAAGTTGTCCGTGAACATGCACCGTAATTGAGCTATTATTGTAATTATTAAATCAACATTGAGTATTTGTTTTAGAGGCAGCTCAACTTCGTGGTTGAGAACATAAACCCTAGCTCCAAATTCCTGGGTTTGAATCTTGGTTTGCCCACTACTACTTTGGGGATGCCATTTAACCTGGTCATATCTTTACCCATAAAAGAGTAAAGGTTATGATGAAGATTCAGTGTTTGCAAAGCATTTAGAGCAGCACCTAACATACAAGAAGTACTGGATAAAAGTCAGCTATTATTAATTGAATTTCAAAAAGTCTCATTCTGCCAATTGATTACTCTCCTTCAATTATACCAAATTAGGATAGCAGAGTGGTGAAGAACATGGGTGCTAGAATCACACTGTCATGGGTTCACACTCTGGCCATGCAGCTGATTAGCAGAGTAGCCTTGGACTAATTTTTCTGAGCCTCAATTTTCTTATCTATGAAATTGATTACACCAGTTTTGAACTGAAATAACCAAAACATTTTTAAGCTTCAACAATCACTACCACCACCACTACTGATCTAACTTCTATATGTCAATGATATAAGTAAAACAACTTATTTTACAAGTACATCTTAAAACCTTGGGATTATACAGTTCTCATAAAAATGTATTTTATTTTTTTTGTATTTTATTTTAAGGCATGAAATAACATTAATTCCTTCAGCAAGCATTTATTAAACAACTTTAAGCAATATTTATGTGCCAGTAACTGTCCTACACACTAAAGAATGAAGTCAAACATTTCTTCATTCACAAAACCCACATTCTTACTGAGAAACCAATGTCACTGTAAGTGCAATATGGAAATGGAAATGCAAATGGAAAATGCAATGATAGAGATTGCATGGGAAACAGTTAAAGGGGGGATATTCTTTGGACTTGTAGACGGATAAAGCGTGAGATGTAGTAACCCTCTCCACTTCCATTAAGACATGCTCTCAATAAGTGCACAGTAAATGTTGAGCTAATCAACGGATTTCTGAAAAAAAAAAAAAAAAAACCACACATGATAATCTTTGATCTATGACCTAGATTCTAGATCTAACTCTACCAATTATTTGCTATACGTAGGACCCTACACATATAGGGGTCTAGGGGTTATTTTTTTCTAGGAGTCATTTTTTCTACATAAGTAGTTCTATCTATCTGTTCTGTTGATTTGGGGAGCTTGTTGAGAATTTCAGATGAAGTTCTGATGAAAACCCTCAACTAAAATGTGAAAGTACTATACAATTTTATCCTTAAAGAAAACAACAGGACAATATTTTTATAAAATACTAGCAGTTTTGTGTGAAATTTTGCAAGTGAGAGAGATTTCATAAGGAAGGGAAGAATGAGATGGCAACCCCCAAAAGCAAGGACTACTTAAACAGTCTATCAAAAAGCAAATGCTGACAAGAGTAGGATATTCCAAGCAACTTACATGAGTGTGTTTTTCAAAAAGTCTTCCACAACCTGCTATTGGATTTGATTCCACAGCTTAAACCTTCCTGACTCCAGCAAATAGAAGTGACCGACACAAATACCCCTATTTGGAAATTACCTATAAGTTTTGCTTGAAGCCGTTTCTTTCTGCCAAATAGAAATAAGTAAATATTTTAATAGATATATGTCCTGAGAAACAAAATCTGATACTGAAATGTTGAGGTTTAGTAGCTTCTAACTCAACATAGCTGATCTTAACACTGTGCTTAACATAGATGCTCCAAAAATATTTGTTCCCTGAATCAAGTTTTTTGTGGCTGAGATGAGGGTTGGTTTTGTTTTGTTTTTTTTTTTCTTTTTTAATTTTTATTTATTTATGATAGTCAGAGAGAGAGAGAGAGAGAGAGAGAGAGAGAGAGGCAGAGACACAGGCAGAGGGAGAAGCAGGCTCCAAGCACCGGGAGCCCGACGTGGGATTCGACCCGGGACTCCAGGATCGCGCCCTGGGCCAAAGGCAGGCGCCAAACCGCTGCACCACCCAGGGATCCCCCTGTTTTGGTTTTTTGTTTTGTTTTGTTTTGTTTTGTTTTTGTTTTAAGAACTCAAAACAGGGCAGCCTGGGTGGCTCAGCAGTTTAGCATTGCCTTCAGGCCAGGACCTGATCCTAGAGACCTGGGATCGAGTCCCACGTCAGGCTCCCTGCATGGAGCCTGCTTCTCCCTCTGCCTGTGTCTCTGCCTCTCTCTCTCTCTCTCTCTCTCTCTATATATATATATATATATATATATATATATATATATATATGGCTCTCATGAATAAATAAAATCTTTAAAGAAAAACCTCAAAACAAAGCAGAGCTATCATTCCAATGTACTGTGGAGTATGAAGTATTATTTTAGAGAAAAAATAGCTATCAGAGAGTGAAGACTGTTCAGCTGGCGAATAAATAGCTGCTGAGATCAGACAAATAGGAGATAAGGAAACAGGCAGAATGATTATGCAGTTAAAGGAAGGGAAACAAAGATGGAATTGAAGATGTGATGTGTGTTTTCCTCCACAGACTGAAGCAGCTCTGATGTATGATGCTGTGTACATGGTGGCCATTGCCTCCCACCGGGCTTCGCAGTTGACTGTCAGCTCCTTACAGTGTCATCGACACAAGCCATGGCGCCTTGGACCCAGATTTATGAACCTAATCAAAGAGGCAAGTGCTACTCATTCATGGCCCAGTTCTTTCCTAGCCATAGTGCTGTTTGACCTGTTCATTTAATGTGGTCTTCCCACATGGCTTTGTTGGCAAGATATCTATAAAAGAGGAGAAATCACCATCATCCGATCTGCTAGGATTTCACTGGTAAAAGTTTGTCTGGAAAAACTACCAGGAATTTTCTAGTGTGATGTTGAGAAGTTCAAAGAAGTTACCAGATCATAGCACTCACCTTCCTTCATCTCAACTATGTCTCAGTTGCTGCTAGTTCTCTTCCACATACGTTCATAAGTGTTTGTAGGTGCTTATTCTATGCCCCATTGAGTCAGGGAGTGGGTTAGCGCATCACTGAAGGTTACCAGAGATAGTTCCAACCTTAGCAGCCCACAATCCCAGTTGTTTCTTAAATATCAAGTGGTACAGGACTGAGTAGGGCCACGTTGTCCTAATGATATAATAATTATTTCACCATTTGTCAGCAAACCAGAAAATTCTAGTCTATTCAAAACTTACCAAGTGTACTAAACGTTTTCAAGAATACAGGGTATTTGGTGAAGGTGAGTTTTTCATGATTACCCTGCAATCTCGGACTGTCCCCTACAATTTTCTTTTCTCTGATGCAATTCGACTTGTCTTGATCAGATCCTGTTCTAAGATCCCAAGATTCTTCATAGATAGGCATCCTTGGATTACTTTGACATCAACATACATTCATCGTGTGTCTGGACTTGACAAAGTGAAATAATGCTTAACTGAGTACACACCCTACTCTATGACGCTGCTCTAATGTTTTCTCTATAGGATGCAGAAATTTGCCTCTCAAATGAAGAGTATCTTTATTGCCTTCTGTATTGGAGACGGTTGAGATGAGACAAAGCCATAAAAGAGAAGAATGGGAGGGACATAGTGCAAGAGAAAAATGCCTAGCCAAGAGCAAGGGAGAAATCCTACTCTGGGCATCATCTTTGTTGATCTCTTTGGCACCTACAAACTCTCACAAGGGTTGTTCATCTACTTCCCCATTGACAGCTGACTCTGATCCATCAGAGACTCTGATCAACAGTCTGTATGAACCAGAGAGACAGTATGTATGAGGTTTAACACTACTCAGAGAACCAGAGGGACAGTATGTATGAGGTTTGGCACCACCCAAGCTCCAAAGCAAGGCTGGATCTAGGGTATGGCAAGCAGCAAAGACTATCCTGGGCATAGGATTTAAGGAGGCACTCACTCTCAGGTTTGAACAGGAGACTGGGAGGGAGTACTTCCTTAAATTTTGTGCCCCTGGGAACCTCTCTGATCTCACTGTGGTCCTGGCATGGTTCCTTGGGTTTAAATCGCAGCTCCACAAACACTTATGAGCAATATAATCTGCACAAGTTACATAAATACTTGCATCTCAATTTTCTCTTCTGTAAAATGGGAATAACACCTTGTATCTCATAGCATTATTGTAAGGATAAAAATAAAAGTATGAAGAACAACACAAAAACACAGTAAGAATCTTAGATATTAGCTATTCTCTTACTACTGGGAGAGACTACTAATAATAGCCTCATTCAGTTTACTGAGTGTGATGCCAGGAATTTAAATCTGGTAGCAACAACAACAACAAAGAAATCACAAATAGGCATGAAATGAAATACTCTTTCTGACAGCTACATAAATCTGACATACTGTGCCTAGTGTAAAAACATCGCCCAGTCTCTGCTCTCCCCGCAGCGATCATGGTTAGGTCCTGAATCGCCATCCTGATCACCTTGATCTTTAACAAGAAAACAGTTGGTTTCCTTTCATCTCCTGCCAGTGCAGGGAGAGGCAGGAGGCCACATGAAAGCTTAGGATCAAACACTCAGAGCACCCCAAGCACCTTTTTACTTATACTTAGGTTGCATAAGAAGGTAAAATTACCAAGCCACAGTTAGGGATGTTTAAAGAAATAATGAACTCCAAGATGAGGGACCACACTGAAAGCAAGAAAGCACTTTATGATCTTTTACTCCGAAGAGCAAATTCCCCATTCTCAGGCTCCACAGTTGGGGGTTGAAAGGAGATGCGGGTCATAGATTAAAAACTTTTATCACTGTCGTGCTCATCTTTTTTGTCTTCTGAATCACGATGCCTTATGCCACTCTAGGCAGGGTACGGGTACCTGCAGAGATGACATAGGGTTCGGAGGTGACCAGGAGCAGTGTCTTAGTCTGTTGAAAGATTGCACAGAGGGAATTCTGAGACAGGCTAAAACCTGTGAAAGTGAGAGAATATAGGTGCTTCTTTCAAGGAGTATATAATTTGACAAAACTTTGCAGGTATCAGGGTTTTATTAAGAAACATGAAATAAGGCATGTGGTCCTAAAACTTACCAAGGTCCTTTCTTTTAGTAACTATCACTTTCTAAAGAATTTTTTTTATTTTTATTATTTATTTATTTTTTTTTCTAAAGGATTTTCAATTTCTAATCAGAAATCATGTAAAAGTGCAAGTCAGCAGATTGAATTTATGGGGTGAAGATCAAATTTGTCACAGGAGGTAAACTTTCTGAGCTCAGAGGTGGTTGTGTGTGCACTAATCCCTGATAACTTCACACATCATTTAGAATCAGGAAGCCTTTCAGACAAGTGTTTCAAGTTAACCATCCTTCAGTGTTTCAGGCTGACTACCAAGGGGAAGAATTAAAGAACATTTTAAATCTGGTAGAGTGTGTTATAGTGTCATGTCTCCAGGCATTTGCTAAACAAATGTATTAGGAAATTATAAATTCCCGCACAGCAAGCAGTATACCGGGACTCCATTACACAAGTAACATGGGGTTTCTACTATCTACTAATATAAATTCTACATAGTAGAGGAATGGCAGGTTTCCTTTGAAGCTATCCTATGTCTGGGATAAAACCTATGCTCATCAGCAGGATCTGCAGGCTCTTCAGTGATCCAGTTCCTGATCTCCTATGCCATCCCTCTCATCTCCTGCCCCAACTCCAGCACTTGCTGAACCTACTAGGACTCCCTGAACTTGCCATATGCCCCTACCAGATTCTCTTACCTCTGACTGAAAGGCCTGTATGTCTCAACTCAAACACCAGCTTCTATGTGCTTCCCTTGATCCATAAACTTTGATTCCTCACCTTCATTATACCTGTTAGACCATCATATCTATTTCCAGGTCTATTTCCAAGCTGCGCTTTTCCCATCTCCTGTCTCTAATTCTTACATAAGACTCAGTATAGAATGAACACCCAATAAGTAGATGCCAAACAAGTGAATGAACCAATAAATGATTCAATGAACAAGCAAAGGACCTGAAGAACCCCAGTAATCTATAAGCAAGTACTGTAGGACACACTCGGCACCTGAATATCATATCCAGAAACAATCCGATGAGGCATAAACCAGAGCCAGCTAGACTTGTCTACCAGGACTATAGATTCTGATGGGACCGTGAGATAGGGATCTGAGGAATAGGCCAGCCTCTTTAATTCTGGCATTGGGAGCACAGACCCTAAGACTTAACTGCAATTTGCTATCCATGAGAACTTAGTCATTGAGGCTCGTTGTTCTCAGTTTCCTCTTCTAAAAACTGCAGATAAAAATGCCCATTCCTTATGTTTGTGGGGAATTACACATATGTACAGCCTAGCAAAATGTGTGGCATGTGGTGGTTGCTCTATAAAGGGTAGCTACCATAAGTGGAATGTCCTTCTAAAAATGTCTATCAGGAAAGGGGATTGTCAGGAAGAAATGAAGCAATGCATATAAAACATTAAATATATTGCCTAGCGTAAGTAAGCCTGCATGCTTGCTATCATTGCTCTTATTGGCATCAACATTATTGTCATTGGAGCCCAAGATGAAGTAGCAATATTTGTAGAAAGGAAGAAAGGACCTAGTAGGGGAAAATCAGGAGTTCCATGGAGATAGGCATGGCACAGGAGGCCAACTCCAGTGATGCCGGGGAATGAGGTAACTTTCCATCATAGAGCATATACATACATACAGCATATACATAGAGCACATAATGTTTAAGAGAGACCCCAAACATTAGGTAAATAGCAACCAGATAGAGCTCCCAGAAAATGCTGGCAAATCACATCTCAGGTTAGTCTGAGAAATGATAGCTGAGTGTGAGTACTGAGGAAGCTGAAGTACTTCCCATCTATGGTCAGAGTTACTCTGGATCCAAAGTTAAGTTCCAGATGACTGTGGGGCAATTGATGGGAGCAACTGCAGCAACAGCAAGCACGGTGACGCATCTGAGAAGAGGATCTGTAATCACAGGTGCTGGGAAGGACAGTGAATAGTGAAATGAATTGTATATTTTAGGTTATGTCAGTGGTTCTTAACTGTTTTCTGGGTTACTAACTCTATATTAAAACCGTCTTAAATCATGGCTGCATTGTTCCCACGAAAGGCATACAAATTTATCTGTAATCTTAGGGATCTTACAAACACCCTGGTTTGCCTGAAATCCATGTTAAGAGTATCTGAATTGGGTGTTTAAAATAGAATTTGGTTGAAAGAGTGTTCCAGTATGATGAACAGCAACAGTATAAATGAAGCATAAAGAGTTCTGTTGGGGTCAGAAGAAGGGGTCCTATGTGGAAGTGATGAGAAATGATTTTTAGTAAATATGGAGAAACAATTGGTGAAAATTGCCTGTTGAGCTGAGAAATTCAGATTTGATTGATGATTGATTGGTAGGCATTGTACTTGAGGCACAAAAATATACTTCAGATGGTTTATCTTGGTAGCCTGTTGTAGGTTTGATCAAAGCAGATAAACCCACAAAGGTTATTGAGGAGTTATAGGTATCTTGGTTTGGAAGTAATCATCGTTCATAAAGAGCTAAAAGGGGAAAAAATTGCTCAAGAGAAATAAACAAGTATTTCTTGAGTACAACCCTGACTTCTCCCTTCTGTCTATATTCATGCAACTGTTGGAAAAATTCACTTGGAAGTCCTGCTGCCACCCTCATGTCAATAAATATCCCAATAGGAAGA